CCCCAAAACCCCAAAACCCCATAAGTCAATAATAATCAATTAAAAAAATTAATGAAGTTTTTATAATAATAATAAATAATAATAAATTTATATAAAAATATCATTTAAGTTTAAAAAATCAATAAAATCGATAAAATAGAACTGAGAGAAAATGTCAAAACATAAAATCAAATGCAACAAAAGATGCGAGTCAGCTGCTTCACAAATCATAAGGTTTATCACTATTGGCAAATATCCCACAGGATTCTATTTTAGAAAGCGCCAAGAGTATTCATCTCTATTATCGTCTTTGATTACAGTGATTGGAATCTTACTATTCTTAGCATTGTCAAGTATAATACTCTTAGGAATAATCAGCAAAAAAGATTTCATAATGTAGTAAAACTATGTACGTGAAGAAGTAGGAATGATTGAAAAAGTCAATGGAGAAGAAGTAATCAAAAGATTAAATTTGGAAATAAACTTTCAATATGTCATCGAAATCTACTCAGATTTCCTAAGTGTGAATTAAATGGAAAAATTAGAAGAATTTATTTCGGTAGAGTGTTAAGTCTTCCTAGGAGATGCTGACACTAGATAGTTCTAAAATTATACTCGAAAAGTAAAATGGTTCAATCACTTCAAAAGGGGTGTTTACTTTGAACCATTTTAGGAGATGACGATCTCTTACACTTTCGAGTTAAATGATTTGATTGGAAACACTAAATTAGAAACGGATGAGATATAAACAGGGTGCTAAATAAAAGCAGATGAGGATAAAATAAATAATCTAAATTTGACCTCTAAGTATTTCCCTACAGAATTATGGAATATCAAATATAATGAATATTATTTTGACAACTAGCATTTTCTTACTTTACCATACGCCAAAAAGACTAAGATTAGTTAAGGTGGAGAATAAATTACCTATGTAATAGATCATTTAGTAGTCAAGAGAACAGATGACATAATATAGATCAAACCAGATTATTACTAGGAAAACTTTCCACAGAAAATCTCAAAGTCATATTTAATTCAAGATAAGTCCAATACTGGTTTTAGAGCAACTTTTACTGGAAGTTAAAATAAGATTGAATTGATTACGCTAACACCTAAATCTTTAGGCTCGGGTATTTCTTAGATTGGTGGCTATCTATCCTTACTAATGCTTCTTGTTGTCATTTTGAGAATACTTCATAAAATATGTTTTAACTACAAACTCTAAAAGGAACTTCATATAGAGCTAGTTAATTCCTAAGCATTTATCAAGAATAATGAGGATAATGATGTGAGGAATTTTTATAGCTATGAATCATTCCTTAAGATGAAGCTAGAATTGGAAGATTGCAAGGACAAATTATAAAGAGTTGATTATGAAAAAAGATAGATGTAAATATAACTAGGTCAAATATAGTAAAGACTAGGTATTCCCTAGTAGCCCAGACAACAGACTTTGAAGCCTGAAATTTTTGATCGAAATTAAAGCTTTCTACTTCCAACTATAGGAGACTAGTCCCAGGTAAGATTAATTGGGTCAAATAGTGTGCTTATGGAACATAGAACCTTGAGTTTTAAAAATAATTATAATAGAGATGAGGAATTTAAAAGCAATAACGAGCTAAATTGATATTTAAACTGAATATACTTATGATATTTCGATATATGAATCATTTCACCGATTTCCATTACTTATCAAGGTTTCGGGGTTTTGGGGTTTTGGGG